TTTTATTCCCTTTCTCCTGCTCTTCCGGCCTGCTACTCTGGGCGGGCCTGAGTTGCCTCTCCTCACCTAATCCCTTCGGCTGACTGCTCTTCTCTCTTGACTTCCTGGCTTTTAATCCCCTTTCTCCTGCTCTTCCCGCTTGCTACTTCGGGTGTCCCTGAGTTGTCTCTCCTCACCTCTAACCCTGGGACTGACTGCCTATTCTTAGGTCCCTGGAATCTGAAAGAATGCTGTCACTTAAATATCCAAAATGGTCGAACCACTCAGAAACATTCAAAATGGCTGCACCCTCCAGACAGCCAAAAGTCCCAGCTCAGCCCATTTCCCTCTTCACTGCTTCCCTTTTTATTCACCAGCACCAGTGCAGTCCTTCATGCAGCTCCTGGCTAGCAGAGCCAATTTTTAGGTTAATTCTTAGGTCCTAACATCACCTGTCAATATTTAAGCTGTCCATGCTATCAGGATCACTGACAGACCACAGCCCTGTATATCTCCTTTTTTGGTGTTTTCATGCAGGTGGTTCTACTAGTTGGAGTTTAGTCCACTTCTATATCCTTCCTTTCAAAGCTCAGGGCTCCAGGATTATCTTCTGTATCTGTGTTAATTGGTTCCCTTTTTCTTTGTTGAAGAGGGTCTGTGTAGTTTGTCTGCCTATTCCACCATCTTACCGGAATTCCAGTGCTCCTTAACACTTTAAAGATGTCTTTTGCAGCACATCTGCCCAGTGCAATATGACATCCAATTTCTTAAGTGCTGTTTCCATGGGTGTTGACTGTGTATCCAAGTAAAATGAAGTCCCTGACACCTTCAATCTTTTCTCCACTTATCATGATGTTACTTATTGGTACAGTTGTGAGGATTTTCATTTTCTTTATATTGAGGTATAATCCATCCTGAACACGCAGTCTCTAATATTCACCAGTAAGTGCTGAAAGTCCTTCTCATTTTCAGCAAAGTTCTGGCATTCACATACTGCAGGCTGTTAATGAGTCTTCCTCCAATCTTGATGCCATTTTCTTCTTCATATAGTCCAGCTTCTCATATTATTTGCTCAACATCAGATAGAGTAAATATGGTGAAAGGATACAACCCTGACACACAACTTTCCTGATCCCATAATGAGATCGTGGGTGACTATTACTTCTTTAAGCAATTATCTTTACTTACGGTACATTATCATTTAAATACAAGTAGAAAAGAAAACAAACTTATTCCCATCAGTAAGATTAATAAAAAATGCATACATTGACGTCAGATTACCTTAGAAATGAATCTCAAGAACAATGGTACAACTTCATATTTCTTAAATTAGGTCCTAACACCATATATCAAAAAGGACAAAAAGGACACATATCAAAAGGAAGTTACTACTACATAAATTTTTTTTTAATTTCACAATTTGATCCAAATAGAGTGTATTCCTTTATAATACACAACACATAGTACATAATATATTTACCTCTAAAGGATGAAGGCTCCTGAAGAGCATTACTTGCCAACCTAGCTGGTCCACAGAATACCAATACAGTGACAGATGTCACAGCTGAACAACATCTAATATTAGCTATCCGATGGGCTCTGGTCATTTCATCATAAATAAGCCAATCTGTGGGCAGTGCCTGAATTGCGGCAGCTTGACCATTCACTGGAGGAATCTACTCGGAAAATAAATAAAAAATCGTTAACCCTATCTATCATCAAAATTATTAAGGGTAAATTTGAAATGTAAAAGGTTTCTCAATGAAATAGCTATGTATTAGTATCTAAGCAAAAATTAAAGGAAGTCACTGCTCATACAATTTGTAGAAAAGTTCTCATTATTAGACATATTACTTTTTTTATGAGCATATATTTTTTAATAATTATAAAAGAATTGTAAGAAGAGACAAAAAGATTTTATCTTTGGGTGAGAGTAAAAGAGTGAATGTGTGTGACAAAGTAGGTAAAGGGTTTGTTTTTTTCTGAGTTGGACACCTGATTATAAGTAACCTTTTAATTCTTTTGTTTTTCTCCATAGTTTGTAATGCTTCTGAGTGGTCTTTTAGCACCATATTCATAGAACTCTAAGAGTTGAAAGAAATGTTAAATGTCAGTCATATCTGGAGTCTTATAACCGTTTTGCCTGCATACCACAAAATAATTTTAAGAAATTATACATTCACTGCAGATTTTTAATTTGGCATCTAATGTTTCTTATAGCCTTACAAAAGCTGGATTTTCTGACACAAATACTGACATTTTAAATAAAATTATTTTATCATATATATATGTGTGTGTGTGTGTGTGTGTGTGTGTGTATATGCCACTCCTCGGAAGGAAGGTTGGGCATTCCTGCTTCCGTAATGATACTGCCTCAGAAACCCAAGGAGGGGTCACTACGAGTCAGGGCTGACTCGATGGCAAACAACAACAACAACAACAAAATCTAAAAACCCTATCATTTGATACCCATAGTCATTCATTTATAAAATACACAAGCAAGCTCTGATTTTACTTCCCCTGCATAATTTTACCTTAATATAATATACAATCTGGGCATATGGTTTCATGGTAAAGAAACTTTCTCCTATATGATCATGATACGAGTTTTATAATCAAAAAATTAACAGCCATGAACTATTAGGTATATCTATGAAGCGGAGAGTACCCAAGACCATGTATAGGGGATACATTACTTCTTACAACTCTCAGATTCATTGAAAAAATATTTTCACATATTTAATTATATATATAATTCTTTTAAGGAGACAAATATTTGGAGCATTTTTCTTTGATCTTCAACTATCTAAACTGGATCAGTTTTACCACAGGGGCTAAAAGCATTAAAAATGTTTTACCTTTTTATATTGAGGCTGACTGAGAACTGAAGTGGGATGAAACCGTACTTTTTTCTCCTTTGGACCTGTCAATACTACATTCTCTCTGTCCACATGGACTAAATTAGGATACATGCCTGCCACCAATGCAGCTTTAACAACTGCCCAGTTCTCAGAGTTTGTGTTAACATCTCGAATGTCACCACCACCTCGTGCTCTAACAAAACCTAGAGAAGAAAAAATACACCAATATTTTCAATTTTCCAAAAGAAGTTTTTATATTTGTATATACTTCTACAAAACAATGCATAAATCATATTATATGTTTAATGATATTTTAATTCTATAATAATTACTATAATCTCCTATGGGACATTTAAAACATGGTATCAATATTCTAAGAAAGGCTGACTCTTTTTTAAGAAACACACATTCTCACAATAAGGTTGCTTCATACTATCATAAATGTACTAAATTCACAGCTGGAATCACTGCCCTAAACCATTCTTTTGACCAGTAAAAAACAGTATTTTGGTCACAGTAGACACTAATTTCTATAGGTTCAGTAAAGTAAATAGAGAGTCTTCGTGCTTAAATTTCAAAAGTCCTTCATATTTTCCCATACTGGAGACAACTCTAAATCCTCTGATTCATTCCTTATATTACTATGACACTTCAGCTGATCTGTGAATTTAAGTTCTGGTACTTTTTTCCTTACTATCTCTTCAATGTACTATACTGCAAAAAAAGAAATTCAGAGAAACAATTCTCAAGGGGAAGTAGAAATCCTGACATCCTCCTTAAAAAACCAAACACAAATCAATTCTCTTCAAGTGATTATCAATTGTTTTATGTTTCAAAATGATAAAGATCAGCATTCATATCAACCTAATTCTTGTAATTTCTATTTCATAGAGCTAGATGTTCATTAATACTAATGAAGGAAAGTATAATAATTATAAGTCTAACTTGATAATTGCCAAGAAATAAATTGTTCTTGCTTAACAGTATCAAAGGGTATAGATTCTGTTCACATATTTTCCAACCTCAGCTTCTTCACTGTCATTTTTTTTAATCAACAAAAAAAATATTTAAAGTTATACAAAAGTTTTTTTTAAGTATTCCATGAATATAAGATACACACGATAATGTTATAAAATCATATAAGATGGCACAAGTTAACACTATAAATATTATAAGGTATAGGTAGGGTATCAAAGCAGGTTAAATTGGTTCTTCAGAGAAAATTTTACCTGACGCTCTAAGTTGACCAAGCAACTGAGTTCGCATGCCTATGATTATTTCCATAGTAGCTTGTGAAAGAAAATTTTTTTCACAAAAGGCTCGCTCCCACCCATCACTTCGTGCTTTCTGCCAAGCCTATAAAAATAGAATAATTATACAAGACACATTTATCAGTCACTTCTTAGTAAGGCAGCAAAGTAACTGAAACTACAACATTAACCACTCAAGGCCAATTGTTTTATACTAATTACTCAATAAAATCTAAGATTTCCTGATCACATGAGATTTATCAGTAATTTATACTCAAATGCTAGAAAAGTCATTCAGTTTACACATTCCCAATGAGAACTAAGTATCAAGTAACCTAAATGGCCAGCTATGTAAAAATATTTGTATTTTCAGATGCTTCTGCTAATTTTTACAATAAAAGTGTAGGAGGTTTTCAACTATACCATGATAAATTTATATCTAAGAAACCTACCCCTTTCGTCCTCCATAAACTAACCTCTCTACCAACCTCTCAGTCTGACTGAGAATGGAAAGTGGGATTTCTAGAAACTACCTATGTTGATGTTGTTGTTATATGCCATCGAGTCAGACCCGGCTCATAGCAACCCCTCCCTTGGGTTTCCGAGGCGGTATCACTACGGAAGTAGATTGCCCAATCTTCCTTCCGAGGAGTTGCTGGTGGGTTTGAACCGTCAGCCTTCTGGTTAGCAGTCAAGTGCCTTAGGCACTATGCCACCAGAGCTCCCTATAGGCAATATAAAAAAGCTCTGCTTACAAAATGAGTTTTTGCTTTGGAGTATGACTAAAAGGTCAAAGCATTAATTTATCTTCCCTGCTTTTGAAGGAGCTGGAGAAAAAGTATAGATAAGAATTTCACTCCAAATCTCCTTCAAATTATTAGCATTCTACTGATACATTATAATGCATGGTTACCAAATAGACTTAATGATTCATCGTTGTTGTTTAATAATGTTTACAAAAGAGCTCACAATTTTTTAAAATTATATATATATATTGGGAAAATGCTGTATCCCTACAAAGGTACTTCTGTAAAAGTAAAGTGAAACTTTTTTAAAAGGACAGATTCAGCCTATATTCAAGAGAATTGAAGAAAAAATAAGATGCCTATCTTTTAAAAAAATAACATATTCTTACCCACATGTCTGAATTTCTCAGTTACATTAAATTTGCCTTCATTGGAATCTCATTTTCTTTATCTTTTTTTTCCATTTACCACTTTCTTAAATTTCTCCTGTTCTCTTAAAGGGTTTCAAGTAGTTTTGGATTTTGTTTTGTAAAATTAAGTTCTTAGCATAATTAAGAAAAAGATATACTATAAAAAATTGGCAGATATTAAGTTCAAGATTTTCTTCCAAGCTTTACTTTATACACTTTGAATAATATTTAATATTTCTTAACTAAAATTTTAGAGCATTCCTTGCCCAAGACATGATTTGAAGATAAGAAACTCAGATATTAAAAAAACAAATACAGGTATAAGTACAAATAAATATACATACATATATATATACATATATCTACAACAAAAATACTGAGAAAACTGAAAAAATGTAAAGTGAAAATGTGATAATTTTAACATAAATGCAGAAAGGGAATTTTAACATATTATAGGCAGAAAGGGAAATTTTTGTGATTAATAAAATGTGACTTCATAATGAAACAAAATTATTGGCAAGTCTCTCTTTTTTTCAATCGCTACGCTTGTTCCTTAATAAGTTTTGTCATCAGCAATTTTAAAAATAAAATGATTGTAATAATAGTACCTGGAATGCTCTGAGAAGTGCCATATGGTCACTGAAAGTTCCTGCAGTGAAACGTTTCCTACAAAGCATAGCTGCACGTTTTTGAGAGGCCTGAGTTGGCAGTACAAATGGATCGCGATATGCTAATGTGCAGGCAATAGTAAGAATGGGGTCCAGACACTTTAAAACAACAGCACACAGGACCATTTTACCGAGATGTGGTTCTACAGGCAAGTCAGCTAAATGATATCCAAGTTCAGTCAGATCTTCCCATGCATCCATTGCATCTATTGTCTAAACACAAGTATAGAGAACAAAATTTGACATGACTAGCCAAACTACATATTTAAAAACCAACAAGACACAGAAATTTTCTTTTCTATTCCACCTCATAAAAAATATGGTATCGTTTTGCATATTATGTAGAAGTATACCTACGTTGTACTGTAATTACCACCAGAGTATTATTATTCAAAGTGTTAAATACTGTAAGATAATTTTTTTAAAGTATAAAATTAGTTAATAGATATTCTTATTTGGTTTAAATTGCAGGTAAAATAAAACTATTAACATACTAACCTTAAGCATCTGTACAGCATTTCTTACAATTAAAGCTGGTGGAGGTTCAGGAGCTTTCATAAGGAAATCAGCAATGGGACAATTAATTGGGGCTAACAGCTTCGTATGTAAACAAAGTTCCTGTAAATCAAAGCATTAAAATTCTCGAAATTAAAGAACATATAATACTGACTTTTATCTTTAAAGAAATTATGAGAATTCTATTTCTCAAATACAGAGTAGTAGTCTCTAAGTAGATTAAATAGGACAGGGAACAATGTCTTTCTAGGAAAGATGGGTTCTCATTTTCCCCTAGATGCCAGAAACTTAATAAAGACCTTCATCGATTCAAAGAAGCTCTGGTGGCACAGTGGTTAAAAGCGTTTGGCTGCTAACCAAAAGGTCAGTGGTTTGAACCCACCAGCTACTCTATAGAAGAAAGATGAAGCAGTCTGCTTCTGTAAAGACTGACAGCCTTGGGAACCCTATAGGGGCAGTTCTACTCTGTCCTATGAGGTCACTATGAGTTGGAACTGACTCGATGGCATTGGGTTTTAGTTTAGTACCAAAAGAGGTAAGTCGTTTTAATAAATCTCTAAAACAAATCTTTTTTTTTCCCCCTTTATACTACATTCCAGAATCTTTTATCCTTTCAACAGATATTTAAATGCTTATTAGGTAGCAAGGTACTATGCAGCAAGTTAGAGAAAAAGAAAACAGACAAGCTCCTGCCCTTATGGAGTTTGTATCGTAGTATGAAAAACAGACATCAAACAACTAGTCATATAATTGATTACTTAATTACAGTTGTGTTCAGTGTTCCTAAGGATCCTGGAAACTGAAAGAAGTAAAATGAGAGATTTAACCATGTTCAGGCAAGACCAGGAAAGGGATGCCATTGAAAGTCAAAGACAAGTTTCCTTCAGGAAGTAACACTTAAACCAAGATGTAAAGATTGAGTAGAAATTAATTATATAATAAAGAGCAGGGGGGGAAGGGAGCAAGGGGGATTCTAGGGAGAAGGGATAACGTGTGAAGGCCCTGAGGTAGAAGGAAGCAAAATGTGCCTGAAAAATTAAAATACTACTGTGGGTAGGAGGAGGAAGAAATAAAGCTGGAGGCACAGTCAAGGAGCAAATCATTCAGGCTCATTAGGAATTCTGAACTTTACTCTAAGAGGAATTAAAAAAAAAAAATCACACGTAGGCAGGGAAAGGAAGGTCATCTAGGTATGTGGATGTCAAAAACATAATCAATTATTCAGTGTGCTTTTAAAGATTTAAGGAACTGTGGTGATGTGGTGCTTAAGGTATTTGACTGCTAACCAAAAGCAGTCCTAGCTGCTTCATGGAAGGAAAATAGGGAAATCTACTTTCTGAAACCCAAAGGGGGTTGCTGTGAGTTGGAATCAACTTGATGGCAGTGAGTTTGGTGTAGTTTTTAAAGATTTAGAAGCCGCCATCTAGCCCAGCACACCAAAGATTCAAACTAATGTAGCTCCGGTAGCTTTTCCTAAAAATTATAGTGTCTGGCTTTTCACTGAAATCAGAAAATCTAAATGAGAACAATTAATAGTGAACCTAGTTCCAAATCATCAAAGTAGTCTGGGTACCTGAAAGAGATTTTGGTACCATCTTTGAACCTTAAATAATTTTTCTAATCCTCGTTGAGAAGCTCTGTGGCATAGCACCTAAAGCATTTGACTGCTAACCAGAAGGCTGGCAGTTCAAACTCACCAGCCACTCCTCAGAAGGAAGACTGAGCAATCACTTCCACAGAGATACTGCCTTGGAAACCCAAGGAGGGATCACTATGAGTCGGAACTGACTTGACGGCACTGAGTTTGGTATTTTTTTTGGAATCTTCATTGAGAATTTAAAAGGCAAACACTATGTAGTTTACACATTCCTAAAATGTTGCATGTAAAATATAATATACTATAAACTCCATCATGATTTAAATACCATGAAAATTTTGAATGCATATTACATTTTTTTGCATCCCACTGCCATTGAGTTGATTCCAACTCACAGTGACCCATAAGCTATCCAAGGCTGTAAATCTTTACAGAATCAGATTGCCTCATCTTCCTCCCACAGAGCAGCTGTTGGGTTTGCACTGTCGACCTTCTGGTTAGCTGCCAGAACCCTTAAACAGTGCATCACCAGAGCTCCTTATTTTCCTACATGGAAAAACATTTTCTGTTAAATATTTAACCATCCTTTTTAATATTCATAATTTTGTTTGAATAAATGGTTTTTTAAAAGCCCAATCAGTGTAAGTTAAAATTTTCCTACACACAAACACACACAAATTCTTTAGAGTTCCCTGTACTGGCACTCTCAAAAGTTTGGAACGGACTTGATGGCAATGGATTTGGTTTTTTGGGTGGATAATCCAGGATGATCTCATCTTGAAATCCTTGACTTGATTACCTCTGTAAATACCCTTTTTCCAGATACTGTTGGATTCACAGGCCCTGGGGATTGGGAAGTGGACATTTTTTGGGGGGTATTGGGGAGTCAAAATTCAACCTACTGCAGATGAACAGATGATATGCCTTCATGCAAAACTCTTCAATGACCTACTAAAGTGTACTTTCCTGTCAGAACACTCTCCTAAGGAAGCATTTTTACTATCTGTAATTCAGCTGGTCTGCGTAGGTGTGAGGTTTCCTTTCTTAGTGGGCAGGACTGAAAACAAAGAATCCAAATCAAACTGCTGAGGAAGAGATGACAGAGACAGCAAGTGTTTAGGGGTCTAAGATGGAAGAGTGGAGCATCTGAGGATACACTGTGCTTTCACCATTGGAACCTTGGTCACTGTGCTTCCTTGGCCTTATGCATTCTCTTGACCCCCGATCTGCAGGCATCTTGGCAAAAAACTGAGGGTTATGCTCAAGATTGAGGTGTGGAATTGAATCATACAATAAACGATAAACCAACTTGTGCCTTACTCACGGGGCATTAGAATGGGATTTGCCTGTGGGCCCCGAACCTGGGGAACACCCAGCATTCTTTTTATCACTTATGTGTATATGTCCAGCCTAGAGCTCTTTCTTTACTCTCTGTACATCTGGTCTATACTTCGAATATTTCTCTCTCTGGAAAGCACTGCTTCCCTTGGCCCAGAACTACTTGGAGTGACCAAGAAGCCTAGAGACACTTGGGTACATTGTTCTTCTGCTGGGAGAGTGGCTTGGGGCAGGCAGAAGGCTGCAGGAGCTCTTGGCAGAGTATTTATTAGTCTGGGGCACTGCACTAACGCTGAAATTAGGTTTTTTTAAACTTTGGCCAGACAGTAGCAGATTTGCTTTCACTTCTGACATTGAAGCCTATTCTTGAGGTGCTGGTGAAACAGAAAAGGAACACTGTGTTTTAGATGCCACCTGTCAGAGTAGCCAATGTATTCCTGGAGCTGTTTCCCTTGGTTCTTTCCCTTTGTTTATGAAATAAAATTTATAAAACTTTGACTTACTAATACAGGAACACAGCAAATGAGTCACTCTATATTTGGATCCTTGATTAACTTTGCCTCTGTTAGAAACTTTTATATTTTTAAAAAATAAATGTTAATATCCAAATAATACATGGATAAATACATTTTTATTTTTGTAAGGGAAAATATACAAAGCAAAGTTGAAGTCTCTGACAACATCAATCTGGTGCCTTTCCCATCTTCTTGGAGGATGCCACAGTTATCAGTTTGGTATATATTCTTCCAGAACTTTATTATATGCATGTGTACCCATGGAAAATCTGCAGTACTCATGTGTCTTAAAAAATAAGTGAGGTATTTACTGTATATCGTTCACTGTATGACTTGCTTTGTTCACCTAACTAAATATCTTGTAAATCTAACTATCAGTACACAGAAATCCACCTTTTTTAAAAAAAAAACCTGCTTCATATATGTGGTGGGCAGAATAATGCTCAGTCCCCTCTCGCCCCCTCTCATCATTCCCCACCCCCCAAAGATGTCCATATCCTAATGCTTGGAACCTGTGAATATATGTTACTGGGTTAAGGGCCTTGAGATGGGGATAGCATTTTCAATTACCCACGCGTGTCCAGTCTAATCAAACGAATTCTTCCACATGGAGAAGGAAGACAGTAGAATGTGTCAGAAAGATGTGACATGAGGAGGACCTGCTTTTACTGACTTTGAAGGCTGAGGAAAGGAAATCTCAAGCTAAAGAATGTGGAGACCTCTAGAAACTGTCAATGACTTTCTATTTACAGCCAGCAAGAAAATAGAGAATCTCAGTCCCACAACTACAAGGAACTGAAGTCAACTAACAACCTGAATAAGCAGAAAACGGATTATCCTCAAGAGCCTCGAGGAGGAAACACGCCTGCCAATGCTTTGATTTTTGTACATAAGACCCATACAGGACTACTGACCTCCAGAATTATAAGAAAATAAATTTGTGTTGTTTTTAGCTGTTAAGTTTGTAACAGTTTGTTATGGCAGCAATAGAACATGAAAACAATGGTGTTGCTTAGTCAGACCACACTACTATTTAGCTAATCCCCTAAAAAGAAAAATTTCCAACACACACAAACTCTAGAGTTACCTGTAATGGCATTCTCAAAAGTTCTGGTGTCTGAAATTCCAACATATTCTGGAATCGGAGTCTACTGAACAGATGGAAACAGATTCCAGGTCTACATCGCCCAGCCCTTAGAAATAAAATGCAAAATTCAGACTCAATAAGAAAAAGGCAATAATAATGAAAGGCATTATAAAAAAATGTGGTTTAAGGAGAAAAACAATGAACCAGAAACAAGACTTCTTCTGAGTTTGCATTCTTACTCTCTGACGGTTCTCCACTATAAAACCTTAACTTGTCTGGGATTCAGTTATCTTATTTATAAAATGAAATTCATTAATGATGCCTACCTAACGTATTTTCTATGGTTATGGTACAAATCAAAAGACATAGCATACATATGAATATAAGTAAAAAAACAAAGCATGAGTAAATAAACGGGAATTTTAATTTAATCAGTTTTAATGAACTAACATCAAGGACTGTGCTTGGGGCCACTGATTAGGGTTGTACATTACAAGGAGTGCCATTTACCACATCAGCACAGTGACTTGTACAATTTGCTGCAAGTAGCAGAAAAGTTATCTTCAGGAAAAGTAGTCTCTTTAAAATTAACCCAAAATCACCATATCACCTAATGGCAGAGATGAATATGCCAACTGTTCAGAGATACAGAAATACCCCTGTCCTCAAAAAGCTCAAAATCCAAAAAGAGACAAGTATAACTATAGCACAATGTCATAAGGGCTAAAAAATCTGACGTGTCATAAGGGCTAAAAAATCTAACGTCATTGGACCACTCTTTCCTTCATCAAATACTCTTTTCCCCAATTTTCCATACACTATACCATTCAGGAGCTCTGGTGGTGCAGTGCCTAAGGTATTTGACTGCTTACCAGAATGCTGGCGGTTCAAACCCACCAGCCACTCCTCGGAAGGAAGGTTGGGCAATCCTACTTCCGTAGTGATACTGCCTCGGAAACCCAAGGAGGGGTCGCTATGAGTCGGGGCAGACTCGACGGCAAACAACAACAACAACATACCATTCAGGGGAGCTCTTGTGGCTTAGTGCTGAAGGCATCTGACTGCTAAACAGAAGGCTGGTGGTTCAAATCCACCAGCAACTCCACTGAAGGAAGACTGGGCAATTTACTTCCAAAGAGATACCGCCTCAAAAACCCAAGGAGGGGTTGCTATGAGTTGGAAATGACTCATCAGCAGTGAATTTGGGTTTTGTTTGTTTTTTTGTTTTTTTTTTTAGTTATACCATTCAGCTTTCTCACCTATCCAGGCTCCTCTTTGCCCAATTCTTAAATGATGATGTCCTTTTGAGGTTGGACCCTCTGCTCTTACTCTAATCTTTCTCCAGTAGTGACTATATTATCCCCCTAACTAAAATTTCTGTTTGTTCTAAATTTCATCCTAAGTCTAGCTGTATATTTGAGAAACCTCTTAGACATCCCTACTTGGATGTTAGATCCTTCTAGTCAACCCAAACTCAATACACCCAAAGTTAATTTTTCACCCAATAGAACCACTTCCCATTTTCTTCTGACAATGGTACCACCATCCACAAAATTTCCCAAGATAGAAAAATGAATGACAGCCTTGACCCCATCTCATTCCTTATCACCATCACCCTTCATATATTCAATCACCCATTTGTTTTGGTATATGTAAGGTGGTATGTGTGAAGTTAACATATTAACAGGTCACGCACATTCATTATTTTGATAAACTGCCTATTTATGTCCTCTATCCATTTTAATTGTATTGCTGTTATTGTTACATCCCACTGAGTCAACTCCAACTCACAGTGACCTCAACTCATAGTGACTCAAGTATAACAAATCAAAGTGTTGCCTTGTTCTGTGCCATTTGCACAACTGTTGCTATGTTAGATCCCAATGCTACAGTCACTGTGTCAATCCATCTCATTGAGGGTCTTTTTCTCACTGATCCTCCATCTCCAAGGATTGGTCCCTCTTGATAACATGTCCAAAGTAAGTGAGATGTGTCTCACCATCCTCATTTTTTTTTATTTTGATTGTGATTTCAGTGAAAGTTTACAATGCAAATTCATTTTCCATTCAGCAGTTCATACACATTTTGTTTTATGATACTGACTTCAATCCCCACAGTGTAACACCTCTCTTCCCACTTCCTCCCTGTAGTTACCATTTCCCTGTATCCTTCTTTCCTATGCATTCCTCCCCCTTGAGTTATTTCCCTATATAAATACTGCCCTTCTGTTCTCCCATGATTGATTGAGGAGTATATCTAACTGGTGTAAATGTTCACCCTGTATGTCTATCTACTGTTTGGCTGGAAGCCACAGGAGTGAGTCCAATTCCAGGTCTGAAGAGTAACTAGAGGCCACAGTCTTAGAGGTTTCACCAAGCTCTATCAGACCAATAAGCCTGACATTTTTTATAATTTTGAATTTTGTTCCATATTGTTCTCCCACTCTATTCAGGAGCTCCTGCACTGATCCCTTTCCAGGTGGCTGACAGTGGTAGCCAGGTACCGTCTAGTTCCTCTGGTCTAATGATCATATAGGCTGAAGTTCTCATGGTTCACTAGTCCCTTAGACTAATTGTTTCCGTGTGTTTTTTTCATTCTTTGCTCCAGACAAGGAGAGACCCGTTGTTGCATCTAGATGGCCACTTACAAGCTTTTAAGAACCAGTTACCACTCACCAAAGTAGGAAGTAGAACAAAGTTTCTGTGTAGTATGTTATGCCAAATAAGCTTGATGTCCTCATGACCATGGTCCCAAGCCCACAGGTCTAACAACTCACTCCAACAGTGTGGCTGACTGTCACCATCCTCACGTCTAAGGAACATTCTGGCTGTTCTTCCTCCAAGACAGATTTGTTTTGTTGTTCTGGAAGTCCACAGTATATTCAATATTCTTCACCAACACCATAATTCAAATGCTTTAGTCTTCCTTTTTCATTGTCCAGCTTTTGCATGCATAGGAAAATACCACGGCTTGGGTCAGATGCACCTCAGTCCTCAGGGTAACATCTTTGCTTTTGAACACTTTGAAGAGGTCTTTTGAAACACAGTTGCCCAATACAACACATCATTCAATTTCTTGACTGCTGCTTCTATGGGCATTGATTGCTGATCCAAGTAAAATGAAATCCTTGATAACTTCAATATTTTTCTCCATATATCATGATGTTGCTTATTGGTCTCATTGTGAGGATTTGTTTTGTTAAAGTATACTACTGATCTTTAATTTTAAATAACTTTTACCATAAGAATATTAGCCCTTTCTCCCAAATTGCAAATGTTTACAATTCTGCTTTTGATTTTTAGCTTCTCTTATCTTCTAAGGGGAGCTCTGGTGGCATAGTGCCTAAGGCATTTGACTGCTAACCAGAAGGCTGGAAGTTTAAACCCAACAGCCACTCCCTGGAAGGAAGGTTAAGCAATCTACTTCCATAGTGATACTGCCTCAGAAACCCAAGGAGGGGTCACTATGAGTCAGATCCAACTCCATGGCAGTGGTTGCATTTGTGTTTTATATCTTCTAAGTGTAGATTATACTGGACAAAAGTTTTTAAATTTAATGTATCCTAAATTTTCCTTTTTAAAAAGTATTTGTGGAGGAAGTGGCTGTGCGAGGGCTGCTGCACAGCTAGCAGAGCCGCGGTCCGGACGGCAGCGCGTGCCCCAAGCTCTCCGCCTCCCCCCACCTCCCGCCAGCCCGAGGCAACCCAACCTCAGCCCGCCGCCCCAGCAGCAGCACCGAGAGCAGCACTAGTAGCAGCGCCATGGCCGGGTGGAACGCCTATATCGACAACCTCATGGCGGACGGGACCTGTCAGGACGCGGCCATCGTGGGCTATAAGGACTCGCCCTCCGTCTGGGCCGCTGTCCCCGGGAAAACCTTCGCCAACATCACGGTACTGCGAAGTCTTCGCGGTCCGGGAGACAAGCTGGGCTTGGACCGAGGGAGGGTTTTGGGTGGGGGCGGGCGCGGTCTGGGAAGGGCAGCGAAAGGCCGACCCAGTCCTTGCTCTGGAAGCGGCACGAATGGCGGAGCACGTGAGTGGGTCCTTCTGTTGCCCCCATAAGTCCTACGCCCCAAGCGGCGGCGCCTATCCCGCCGGCCGCCCTCCTTTCCGCGACGGGGCGTTACATCCGGGGCACAGGGCGGGGAGGGGCGCGCCTCCCGGTACGGCGGCCCACTTCCGCCTCATCCAGGGCGGGGCGGACACGCTCTGCAATTTTAAGCAGGAATTAAAGACTGAGAAGGGGCTAGGGAACCCCTGAACCCCCTGCTCTACTTCCGGCTTCCAGCGTGCGCTTCCTCCACCATTGTTCCCCCCTATGCAGGAGGGAGCCCTAGGCGCTTGGTCTGGGTCCCATGCCCGCCTCCCTGGGCTCCCTGCCCCTCCCAACTCCATTAGAAAGGGTGAGGCCGCCACAAGCCCCCCTAACTCGGCACGTTGGACCCAACATTCCTGAGATCAGTCCCGGAAGTCCCCTCACCCGCCCTTCCCGCCACTCAGCGGGGCCTACAGCGGGGAACTTTATGAGAAGTTCTGATAGAGTATAAGTTAATGAATAAGGGATGAGTACTGCTGTCCCCATCACCACCTTCCCGGTCCATACTGCCCGGAAGTGGGGAGGGGGAACGGAAGTTCGAAGGGGGGAGGGGATTTCCGGGCATGAGGGGACCGGATGTGGGGGTTTGGGGTGTAAGGGGGAGACGGCGAGAAAGGTTCCTTGAGGTAGCTAGAAGGGAGAGCTGACTGGCCGTGTATGATCCTGGACCTCTTTCAAAAGTTTTTTTCAACCTTCTCACAGAATCTTCAGGGGTCTGTTTCTTCTTTATCTTGGGGCACAGACACCTGGACCTAAACGTTAGGTTACTTGGAGACCCAGGCGTCCGGGTCCCTAACAACTCCTGCAGAACCTTTGACCAAATAAGGGCAAAGTTGCTGCTCCTGCCTCACCCGCCCCCTCCCTTCCCCTCTCTGCTTCTGCTTTTCCTGAAGGAGAGTTTTGAGCATCCAAAGGCTCCCCGCTCTTTTCCACTCCACTCTCCTCCCTGATATTTGGTCCCTTTTCAATCCTGAGTTTGCCTCCCTTTTTAAAAACGGAGAGCTAAGTCTCTGGAGGAACATGGCATCCTTTATTCTCTGTTACCATTCTTTAGGTTTGAGGCTCATGATCTTTTGTGCATTAACTTCCCGGTCTTGAATTTCTCAAATTTCAGGACTTGTACAAAGCAAAATACCTCTCCTCTCTGAAGGTTTTTTCTAGCTCCCTGAGAAGTGGAAGGAAGATAGGTCCTTGGAGAAAAGAGTGGGAACCTTGGTGCACTGACTCCCTTGATAGATCCTTGTTCCCCTTTCAGCCAGCTGAGGTTGGAGTTCTGGTTGGCAAAGACCGGTCAAGTTTTTTCGTGAATGGGCTGACACTTGGGGGCCAGAAATGTTCTGTGATCCGGGACTCACTGCTGCTGGATGGGGAATATACCATGGATCTTCGTACCAAGAGCACTGGTGGAGCCCCAACCTTCAACCTCACTGTCACCATGACTGCCAAGACGCTAGTCCTGCTGATGGGCAAAGAAGGTGTCCACGGTGGTTTGATCAACAAGAAATGTTATGAAATGGCCTCCCACCTGCAGCGTGCCCAGTACTGACCTCGTCTGCCCCTTCCCCCCACCACTTCCCACTGCTTTTGCACCCCTCTCCTTCCCATACACCATTTTTATTTTTTGGGCCATTACCCGATACCCCTTATTGCTGCCAAAACCATATGGGACAGGGGGCTGGGGCTGGATGGACAGACACCTCCCCCTACCCATACCCTTCCTGTGTGTGGTTGGAAAAGTTTTTTTTTGGGTTTTTTTCTGAATAAAAAAGATTCTACTAACAAGGGGCTGTGTGGTCTTAGCCTGGGTGTCAGGATGGGGGACAGGCACCACAGCTTGCATCCTCTATCCTGATTTGGTGACTGGGAGCAAGGGGGTTGAGGCACTATGTTGTTGTTATGTGCCGTCGAGTCGGCCCCGACTCATAGTGACCCCTCCTTGGGTTTCCGAGGCAGTATCACTACGGAAGTAGGATTGCCCAACCTTCCTTCCGAGGAGTGGCTGGTGGGTTTGAACCGCCAGCCGTCTGGTTAGCAGGCAAGTGTCT